AAAAAAAAAAAAAGATCTGATGTGCATCACTAAAAATCAACATGTGTATGTTCTACATTAAATTCACCAACTAGGAGGGACTATGCTAAGTGACACTAGCCTTAAATGGATGGTGTCATTTATATGTAGAGTATTAAAAAACTAAACCAGCCATCAAAAGCTGACTATAGAGCTAAGCTTTTTAGGGTAAGGGAGAGGGCAGGGCAGAGAGATATGGGGGGAGAAAACAGTGGCGTGTGCTGGAGAACTATGGGACTAAGGGTACCTCAGTGGTAAAAGTGCTACAATGAACTATACTGGCAAAGAAAAATCAACTACTGGCATAACTGTAACAAGGATGTAAAACAACTGTACTTCAATAACAATTTAACTAAAGAAATAAAAGTACAATTCTACCCTGGACTAAAATTGACCCCTTTACTTAATGATTTACTCTCTCCCCCTTCTCCCATCTCACATCCCTTTTTTTAAACACTAACTGGTATTATGGTCTAAATGTTTATTTTGTTGTATTTAATTCTTCCATTTATTTGGTTTCTTTCTCTATGGGCTACATACAATGTTTCTCTTAGAAATTAACTTATCTAAGGAAAATTTAAATGAAGAAAGCTACTGAAAAAATATTAAAACAAGCCTAATTTTTACCCATTATTTTCTTTCTTCAATTTCTCAATTTATCCTCACTTTAATTTTATCTTTCAACTATAGAATGCTGATAAATATCATGAAAGTGAAAAAAAATCTTTTTACCTTTCAGTTATCCCTTTATGAAAATTAAAGACAACTTAAAACAGCATACACATTAATACCACAATTAAGTTGGCTAAAGTTATTAAAGAATATTAATTTTGCTGAAATCTGTATTTATATTTTAAACAACTTATAAAAGTGGTTTAAATATTTTCTATTGAAGATTGACACTTTGTTATTGGTAAGCAAAGTTATCACTTATTCCTACAATAATGTGAGAAAGGTCATCACATTTTAGCAACTCCAACTACATACATTAATTGTCGTTAAAATTAGTGCTAGGAACATCTATGTTAACCACATGACAATATTTCATTTATGCTTTCCTAATGAACTTATTTTTATTCTACAACAGTAACATTCTCTTAAAAGAATACGTAAGTTTCACAAAAAGTGCACAGTCCACAACTTGTATCACATTACTTGATAAAAATTTCAACAAAAATATAAAATACCATGCAACCAATGCAAATCAACATATTATATGTAAAATCACAAACTATTTTGGCTTCTTATAAAGTAAGGAGATTTAAAAATGGAAATTTTGAACTGGACAAAGATTCTGAGAGTTGACTAAGGAAATTCTTGCTTTTTCTTCAAGGCATATAACCTCTTGGGATCTTGTACTTAATTTAACCACTTCTCAATAACCTCATTCTTCCCTTTCTGCTTTAGCTTAACATTTATAGGAATCTAGAGAAACTGAACAAAAGATAAAGAGAAAGACAAAGCCTACAAGCTGATCATAGATCAGAGGCACCAGCAGAGGGAAAAGGTAAGGGTCAAAACTCCCAGGAAGCACAGCAGGGAGTATTTTGATGGTTCAAGGTGATGAGGTGGTGGGAAAACTATAGGGACTGCACCTGACAGGAGAAACCAATTACTGCCAAAAATGAACAATGATGTAAGAAAGAAAAAATTCTATAAAAAAAAATGTAGGAAGAAATCTTTATTTCACTAATAGCCTCTTACACTGAAAAGTCATGAGAAATGAATATCTTAGACTCTGTTCAGGGGGAGTACAAAATAATCAGATTTTAACATTAATCCTGAAACTTTAAAAGCACAGAAAATATTTGTTAAATTGACTTAGTTTTGATTATGTCTGAGCTCGCATTAATATAAAATATTTTTGGATATATTAAGTTAGAATATGGTATCATATTTTTAGAGTGAGTCAGGATTAGAATTAGCGCACCAGGTCTGCTGAGACCTTCAGTTACACATATTCCTGGGAATAAAGTTAATAGGAAGGTACACTTGTAAATTAAAATAACAACAACAATAATAATAATCATGCAGGCTAAAAGGGGAAATATTTGTTTTGCTGAACATTATTGAGTTAAAAAATGGTACAAGAACACACTGATAAGAGATAGTTTCATTTTTCATTTATAATGTAATGAAATGAAATGTGGGAAAAATCAAAATCTGTCACATTAGTAAAAGTCAGTACTTTTCTAACAGTAATTGATAGATTTGTGGTAGAAATTAGAATAACTTAAATAACGAAGAATGATTGAATTGGTTTTCTATAAGTACCATTCCATTTTGTGTTCATATGATTTTAGAGACTGGTAGACAGTCTTTACTAATCAAGACCAGGAAATAAAACAGAATAGTGTAAAAGTCATTTGATTATACTGCAATAATCAAAGAGCTGCTTTGTATTGCAAGCAGTGGTAACCAATGTATGTGGTGGTTTGACAGTGGGTGTGGTGTATGGTCTTTGTGTGCTAATTTAGACTGTGGCATTCCCAGTAATAATTTCTTATTTTTTTTTTTAAAATAAAGAGTAGAATACAAAAGAAAGTTCATCTAACTAAGGACTTCTTAAAATGGGTATATGTGTGTGTGTGTATTTAAATTCTGCCCAATTTAGGTCCCTTGTCTACAGTTCCAATATAATATCACTTGCATGAATGTTTAAATTGAAGTCTTAGTGATTCTGAATTAGTTCTGTATCCATAGACATATCTCATTTCTTTAATTTTCAATTTATTTGCATATAGTTCCCCTTTATAACTGATGTATTTTGATATATCACAAAATAGTACCACAATATAGCATTTAATAGATATCTACTTATAAGATGTAATGAATATTCAAATGTAATGTTAATTATTATAGATAAAATGTAATTAAGTTTTTTGAAAATGCTTATATGCCAATATATTTCATTTTTGGTTGTATTAACACAGGTAGCATATCAATAAGTCTTATATAACAAAATGGGCTATCAAATTCAATTTATAAACCATATTTCAAATGTTATATTTTTATAAAGTAAATTAGCCACTGGAAATACATTTACTTTAAAATGATGGCTAATTTCTCATTAAGATTAATTCTGGGATAACTCAGTTTTCAGAATTTCAATTTGTTATGTATAAAACACTTTCTGTCTCTCTCACACACAATATAAGTATTAGGTAATTTTTCCTCTAGAAAAATATATTTTTTCAACACATACACAGAAATCCTTGGTTTATTTGTATAATTTCAATTTATTTGCTTTTATCTTATGTATTTTAATCAATAATATATAATAATAATGCCTGCCAAGTAACATCAATTTCTAAATTAAAATTTTTTGACAAGGAAAAACTCTGGTAATTTTTTCCCAATTCACATTTCTAACTTCTAAGAGCTTTATCTCGTAAAATATTGGTAATTTCCAGATAAGACTTTAATTGATAAATGTTGAAATTCAATATATTAATCATATAATTTTTAATTTACAAAAGCTAATAAAATATTTTTATAATATTATTTACTTACAACAATGGATATATAGACCACATGATATATCTCATCGGTTTTTCTATGTTTTAATATAATTTAACACATACTAAGGAGATATTTGTTACAAATGTGTAACTTCTCTGAATTCAAGTAGTTGCAATATAATATATGTAATTCGATCTCAAAACACAGACAAGAGAAACTAGTACCAAATAGAGAAAGCCATAACTAGCCTTATTGGCAATCAAATTATGTACAAGATAAATGGTATGTCAGTTATATACTGAGGAAATGATTTACTTTTTGTTCCTCCCAATTTAAACAACCACATAGTTTTAAATGAAGTATGATGGCACGAGCAATCTACTCCAAAGCACTCACCTACTGTCAGCTGTCCAGTTAACTGCCCCATGTGATTTCTTGCATTCACTGTTACATTTCTGTCAGACTGTAAGACCAGTGGACTATCCTGAGAAACATGTATAGAATAAGAAATCAAATAAAAAAATAGAAATATAGTCAAAACTTAAAATATAAAATTAAATTGCATTTGTCTGGGTATAATCAAAGTACTACTTTTCTATTTTCTATTAGGCAGTTTTCTAAACAGCCCAAATTCTGTTTGAATAATATTAAAGACTATGGGGACCCATAACAACTAATTGAGAGAACAGAAGCACCACTGCTTTGTAAATGGGCATTAACTTTTGGATCCAAACATCACAACTCCAGTGATCACTGCACATCATAGTTGCAGTAACCTTTTTCCTTCTCCTTTAACAGGAACATATGATTTTTTAGGCCCAATAAAAATATTTAAACCCTATTGAAACAACTTGAAACTATTAAAAGTCACCTCCTCAAAATGCATTCAACTACCAAATTCCTAATATCCACGTGTTTTGTTTCTGTCAAGAGAGGAAACGCACATGGCATAGAAAGGCTATGAAGGTGTTGTCTACACCCAATTGTATCACCACTGATATGGGAAAACCTTTACTGTGCTTATTGATTGGGTAAAAAAACAAAACAAAACATAAGAGCATTGATATTTCCTGGTTTATTTACCTCCTATGTACATGCTTTGTAAGTCATTTATATTGTAAACAGTTATATATGTAAACTGTTATATTGAATGTAAGAAAAGCATATGTGTGTCTAGAAAGATTCTTTCAGTACATATAATCCTGGCCAGATATTTATTTTTATCATTAATTTAGCACTTACTAGTAAAATAATATTTTTGAAATTCAATACCAGTGCCTTAAGAATCTCAGTACTAGACTTTTGCAATGTTCCTGCCTCAACAAAGGAATTTATAACTCCCTATATTTTCATTTTTATGATAAAAATTATGTTTCCATTCATTCATTCAATTTATATTCATTGAGTGCTCATTATATATATATATATGTGTGTGTGTGTGTGTGTGTGTGTGTGTGTGTGTAGTGTCCTAGAATCTTAGGACATAGCAGTGTTTAACTAAAACATAATTTTGAAAGTAAATTTCCATAACTTGAAGAATAAATTTATTCTGTAAAGAGACAGACTTGTACAAAAAACTATTAATTTAATTCTCTGCTTAACTATTATAAAACCTCAGTTTTTTTGTGCCACAAATCAAAAATGTTATACTTGTTACACTTGCTGTTAAAAAACAAATCTATATACAACTGAGGATGTGTGAATTCACACATGTGAATCCTAAGCAGTGTTGTAAACAATATAAACCTCAAAAAAATCATTTAGCCTTTCTATCCATAGGTATTTCTGTGCTGAAGACATTCATCTTTGAAATTTTCTGAAGTACTTAAAATTAATTATATTTTTTCTTTCAATAAGTTGCTCATATTCTATTTACAACATATATTATAGTCTAAGGACTATTTACAAACAATTATAGTTGTTATAAATAAGTGTAATATGCAAAGTGAATGGCTTAAGAAGGAACAAAAATCTATTTCATGTTGATAAAGTTAAATATATATAATCTAAGTTATTTAAAAAAAGAGTTTTGAATTAAATGACATTAATCTGTGAGAAACAGCTGAAGCTTATAAAACCTTCCAGTTCAAACCACCATAAAAATATATTCGTTAAAATTGTGTTCACAATTTTTCAATATTTTCATGACATAGCATGATTATTGCATTGATAAACATTTTAAACCTAAATTTCTGTGAAATTTAGAATAAAAGCAGCATAACCATCATTATATTTAAGGGTTATGTAAGTGTATTAAATGATTCTTTATTTAATATGTTAAGATGAATGAAAGTCAGTTATACAATGACAATAAAAGTATCATCTTATGTAATAGAGGGACAGGTTTAGGTTAGAATTGAAAATGTCTTTATTTGTAATCTATCCATCCACTTTTTTTCCTGCTCTAACTGTAGGAACTCTGTTGAAATCCATCCCTGGCACTCTTCCTTTCTCTTCATATCACTCCACCAAATTTCCCTAAAATTAAACTTAATGTCTAGATTAAAATTTTACAATGATAAAAATAGCAATGTCTTTACTGATTAAACACTGAGCATAAAGCAATCGCAGTCAAAGAAACCTTTGTCTATACTGTATTTTGTGAATATCAATATATCCTTATGCTGTGATGATCTGTTCAATTGTGATCAGGTAAACCAAAACCAATCTTTTGATTGAAAAAAATGCAATGCAGGCAAAGAGAGACATGAGGGTATAGAAGGGTAAAGAGGATAGGAGAGTAGCACTGATGTTTAGTGGAGGGAAGGTGAAGTATGTGTTCATGTTGAGGTGTGTTGTGGAGTAATGAAAAATTCTGGAAAACAAGGAACACCTGTTCATGGAAAATATTGATTTTAGTTTGTTTTGTTATTTATTTCTCATTGTTAGTGTAGTACTGCTACCCTCATTCTTATTTTACAGATAAAGACACTTAAATGAAGAGAGAAGCTATGTAATTTGCAGTGAATCAGAAAGCTAGTGAGTGACAGAGGCAGAATTCGACCATAGTAATTTGGGTCTAGAATCTTCCCTGACAAACATCAGGAGGTAATTTCTTCCTGGCGGGTGATTTATTTCTAGCCCTTCTAGAGTGTCAAATCAAAATCTGAAAATAAAAAAAAAAGTATATAAACTATAAAACTATTAAATTGACATATAAGTAAAAATTCCTTTAGGCACCTAGTCTCTAAAATGAACATCTGATAATACATAGTCTAAACATGTAAAATACCACTTTTATCTTCCAACTTTCAGTGACATAGTATGCTTTATTTTGTATCATATTTTGCTTTCTCAGGTTTTAGAGAAATAACTGACTTTCTTCTGCCCACATATTAGAAGACATCATCGATAAACCATTTTGCTCCGTGTAGAGGCCATTCATTTGATATACTAGTTCTCGAATATATACCATTTTACATGAGTTTTGACAGGTAATTTTTAAACCTTCATTGATCGAAGTGATATAATTTTTCAATAATCCTATATTTTTCTGAAATCCACTATCTTCTTCCTCTACATCTAATGAGCTATATCAGAAATATTTCTTAAATGTACCTTTTACTGTCTTATTGTGACAACTCCTGTAATAGATTTATAACTCACACCATAATAACCACATCCCCTTACATTAATTCTTCATATCCAGGGTTATTTTTCTAAAATATTTTATTAAAAAATGACAGATTATATTCAAGCAACACTAAATAAAGCAGTCATTTATTCCTCATTCACAAATTGGAAAACCAAACGCATATTCATAAAATATAAGATGTGTTATAATATGATCCAGTTTTACTTGTGAAGCTCTATTTTATAGCACTTTCAGGTGCAGGATTTACCCACAAGTCTTCCATCTTTTCCTTAATCTGCCACTTCTGTGCATCCTTACCTTCCATTCTCTAAACTGAAAATGCTCATCCACATCTTAACCCGCAAAGTTATACATATTTTCAAGTTCCTGCTCAAAGTCATGTAAAGTTTTCCTGTTCCTCTAAATTTAGAATTCACCTCCCTCTTTTCCACTCTTGTAACAATGATGATGTATGATATTGTACTTGTCACAAGCTCTTAGGTCTGCTTTGCTTTGATCATTCATTCATTTATATCCTCCATTAGACTAGACTGTCCTGAAAGTGAAGCATGCTGTCGTTTTCTTTTACACATAGAGACTTTAGAAAGCAGTTTGTGTCATGTTTGGTACATAGTTCATGTTCAATAAATGTATACTGAGGGAATAAGCTGAACTGAGCACATTTACAACATAATGCACTCACATCATATGTGCTTATCTGGATTTGTGTTCAGGTCACATATACCTGACCAAGCTCTTGCAACATTTTGGGAGTGTGTGCTCAGAACACATTTTCTAAAAAGGCATTTATATGGAACAAGTCATATCACATTATAATTTTATTTATACTTATCATTTCTATTTGAGGCAGCCCATTCATTTTTTTCCTAATGAATGAGAACCACATAAGCAGCTACAAAACAGCTAATATACTTTCCTTTGGTTAATAAAACCATTACTTTAAATTACATATCCCTAAGAATGCAAATCAGGCCCTCCCTGTTGGCATAATGGGTTAAAGCGCAACACTATGAAGGTTGCCGCAGCTGCTTCAGCATGAGTTCAATTCCTGTCAGGGAGGTGACCCACATGGTGCAGCAGACCTCTCCTGTCTCTCCTGCAGCTGCTCCCCTCAGCAGTGTACTTTGTCGATCTGCCTGTTCTGTTCCCCACTCTTTCTCTGGTGAATCCTCTCACTGCCCCTTCACCACTGACCTGTACCCCAGTTCTGTATACATAATCTTTTTTTTTTTAAGAATGCACATCATTTACTATTGAAATTGAAACAGGTAGAAGTATTGATCAGAAAGGTAGCAAGAGCTGTTTAACTGGCTCCTTCAAATTCTGAGTGTTCATTATTTTACCAGACCCTGAATAGTATAGGGGAGAGAATCTATTTATCAATAAACTTTTCTATGATTCTACTACAACATTTAGTGATAATTTTTCACTTTTCTTCATTGTCTCTTACTAATTATCTAGTCATAAAAGTCACTACAGGATGACTTTCTGTGGAGTTCTATGACATCTGATGATGCTTCTGGTTCCTCTTTGCTTTTTGCTATTACATAGAAATCAGTCCAGGTTATATATACTCATGAAGCTCCCCTTAACTCAATGACTCCTGAAGAATGTGCCACCAGAATAATGTGACAAGGAGTAGTTTTGCATATGGGGATTTATTTAGAGGAATCTTTGGAATTCTGTCACTTTCTATATAATTCAATATGCTACAGTTCTACATTTAGATATCAGGGGACAGAAAATAAATGACTCTTGAATCATTTTCTGAAATAGAGTATTGTACCTAAAGAATAAAGTTTCAGATTAATCATGTAATAAGATGACATAAAAGCCAGAGACCTCTTTCCTTCCTTTCAGGTGTCATGAGGAGCACCAGAGAAATTCTG